GGTAGAGCTTGTGGTGATTGTGGAGAGAGAATCCTCCTCACAGTTTCAAGGCAGAAAAGAGTGCTTGTGGTCACTCACAGACCAAAGCACAGGCCAGGAAAAGAGTAAACACCTCTCCTTTGATCATACCACCTTGGAAGAACTGAAAATTTACAAGTCCCTAGAAATATCTCTGAAAACAACTGCACAAAACCCTTGAAGCTTGGGACATACACCCTCCACACTGGAAGCAGAGCCCTATTCAAGTAATTGGCTGAAAATATGAGCACACAATGGGAAAAACTCAGATTACAGAATCTTACTTTGGTGACAAAGAAGATCAAAACATACAACCAGAAGAAGACAACAAAGTCAAAGCTCCTATACCTAAAGCCCCCAAGAAAAATATGAATTGGTCTCAGGCCATGGAAGAGCTCAAAAAAGATTTTGAAAAGCAAGAGAAGTAAAGGAAAAATTGGGAAGAGAAATGAGAGTGATGCAAGAAAATCATGAAAAATGAGTCAACAGCTTGCTAAAGGAGACTCCCCAAAAAATACTGAAGAAAATAACACCTTAAAAAATAACCTAACTCAAACGGCAAAAGAGGTCCAAAAAGTCAATGAGGAGAAGAATGCCTTAAAAAGCAGAACTGGCCAAATGGAAAAGGAAGTCCAAAAGCTCACTGACAAAAATAATTCCTTAAAAATTAGAATGGAGCAAATGGAAGCTAATGACTCTATGAGAAATCAAGAAATTACACAAGAAAACCAAAAGAATGAAAAAACAGAGACAATGTGAAATATCTCATTGGAAAAACAACTGACCTGGAAAATAGATCCAGGAGAGAGAATTTAAAAATTATTAGACTATCTGAAAGCCATGATCAAGAAAACAGCCTAGACATCATCTTTCAAGAAATTATCAAGGAAAACTGCCCTGATATTCTAGAACCAGAGGATAAAATAGAAATGGAAAGAATCCACCAATCACTTCCTGAAAGAGATCTCTAAAGGAAAACCCCTAGGAATATTATAGCCAAATTCCAGAGTTGCCAGGTCAAGGAGAAAATATTACAAGTTGCCAGAAAGAAACAATTCAAGTATTGTGGAAACACAATCAGGATAACACAAGATTTAGCAGCTTCTACATTAAGGGACTGGAAGGCTTGGAATATGATATTCTGGAGGGCAAAGGACATAGGATTGTAGACAAGAATCACCTACCCAGCAAAACTGAGTATAATCCTTCAGGGGAAAAAAAATGGTCATTCAGTGAAATAGAGGACTTTCAAATATTCTTGATGAAAAGACCAGAGCTGAAGAGAAAATTTGACTTTCGCATACAAGACTCAAGAGAAGCATGAAGAGGTAAACAGGAAAGGGAAATCATAATGGACTTATTAAGGTTGAACTGTTTACATTCTTACATGGAAAGATGATATTTGTAACTCATGAGACCTTTGTCAGTATTAGGGTAGTTGGGGGGAATATAGATAGATAGACAGATAGACAGATAGATAGATAGATAGATAGATAGATAGATAGATAGACAGACAGAGATATAGATATAGATATAGATATAGATACAGACATGGGGGAACAGGGTGAGTTGAATATGAAGGGATGATATCTAAAAAATAAAATTAAGGGGTGAGAGAGGATTGTTCTGGGAGAAGGAGAAAGAGAGAGGTAGAATAGAGTAAATTATGTCACATAAAAGAGGCAAGAAAAGTTTTTATTGTGGAGGGGAAGAGGAGGGAGGTGAGAGGGAATGAATGAATTTTACTCTTATTGGATTTGGCTTAAAGAGGGAGTAACGTACACACTCAATTTGGTATGGAAATCTATCTTACCCTACAAAAAAATAGGGCAAAGGGGATAACGGAGGGGGAGATGATGGAAAGGAAAGCATATTGGGGGAGGGGGTAATCAGAAGCAAACACTTCTGAAGAGGGACAGGGTCAAAAGAGAGAATAGAAAAAACAGGGGGCAGGATAGGATGGAGAGAAATTTAATTAGTCTTTCACAACATGACTATTATGGAAGTGTTTTTCATGACTACACATATATAATTTATATCAAATTGCTTGCCTTCTCAATGAGGGCAGGTAGGGAGAGAATTTAGAACTTAAAGTTTTAGAAATGAATGTTAGAAATTGTTTTTACATGCAATTGGGAAATAAGATATACAGGCAAAGGGGTATAGAAATCTATCTCACAGGAAAATAGAAAGGGAAAGGGATAAGAGAAGGAGTAGGGGGTAATAGAAGAGAGAACAGATTGAGTGAAGGGAGAATCAGAATGTAGGCCATCATGGGGTGGGAGGGAGGGGAGGGATGGGGAGAAATTTTGGAACTCAAAATCTTGTGGAAATGCATGCTGAAAACTAAAACTAAATAAATTAGTTAATAAAAAATTAAAAAAATAAATAAACCTGAGACACTTAAATAGAAAGACACAGTTAAAATAAAGGGCTAAAGCAGAATCTATTATGCTTTAGCTGAAGTAAAAAAGGCAGGGCTAAACAATCATGATGTCAAATAAAGCAAAAGCAAAACAGACCTAATTAAAAGAGATAAGTAGAGAAATGAAATTTTCCCCAAAAGTGCCATAGACAATGAAGTATTATTAAAAAATTTTTATAGCAAAATTTTTTGATAAAGGCTTCATTTCTCAAATATACAGGGAATCAAATCAAATTTATAAAAATAAGAGCTATTCTCCATGTGAAATATGGTCAAAGGATGTGAACAGATGCTTTTCAGAAGAAGAAACAAAAGCTATCTATAGTCACATGAAAAACTGCACTAAATCACTATTGATTAGAGAAATGCAAATTAAAATTACCACCTCACACCTATAAAAAATGACAAATGCTGAGGGAATGAGGGAAAATAAACGCATCAATAAACTCTTGGTGAAGCTGTGAACTGGTCCAACCATTCTGGAGAACAATATGCCCAAAAGGCTATACAACTGTCCTTTGACCCAGCAATACCACTACTAGATCTGAATCTCAAAAAGATCAAAGAAAAAAGAAAAGGACTTCTATGTACAAAAATATTTATAGTAGCTCTTTTTGCAGTGTCAAAGAATTGGAAACTGAGGGGCTGCTCATAAATTGAGGAATGGTTGAACAAGTTATGGCATATGATTGTGATGGAGTACTGTTGTGTTATAAGAAATGATGAGGGAGGGTAGTTTCCAAAAAACCATGGCAAGACCTACATGAATTGATGCAAAGTGAAGTGAGAAGAACTGGAAGATCATTGTGCATACCAACAGCAATGTTGTAACGATGATCAATTGTAAAAGACTTGGCTACTCTAATAATACGATGATCCAAGCAATCCCAAAGGACTCATGATGAAAAAATCCAATCTATCTTCATAGAGAGAACTGATAAACTCTGAGTGCAAACTGAAGTATAATTTTCTTATTTTCTTTATTTTTTTTGCGATATGGCAAATATGGAATTATTTTGTATGATTTCATAGGCATAATTGATACCATTTTGCTTGCTTTCTCAGTAGGTGGGGGAAGGATGGGAGGGAGGAGAGAATCTGGAACTGAAAATTTAAAAAGAAAAGAATGTTAAAAATAAATAAATAACTTTTTAAAAGAAGTAATAAAAGTCCTCATCTGCCAAATGAGAAGATTAGATTAGATCATCTCTAAGGCCTCTTCCAATTCTCAATTGTATAATCCCAGTAAGTTCTGAATTAGCGTGATGGCAGCAAAAATAGATAACAGGAAAAAGATGTGAGATGACATAAATAGAAATCATAAGACTGCCAAGTGACTGCACGTGGGAGGAGTCAAAGGTGGCAAAGGTTTAATTAACCCTTGACCTTTCCTCATGACCTTATAATTTGGAGGGAAATGGAAAGAGTAGTCTGCAGTAGAGAGGATTGCCAAGGATGTGACATTCTCAGAGGAATATAAGGTTTTAGCCAACGTGAAGAATTAAATGAAGTATCTGAGAACGTAGGGTTGTTGTTGTTGTTGAGTCATTTTAGTTGTGTCCAACTCTTTGTGACAACCCTATCTGTAATGGTTTGCCATTTCCTTCTCCAGCTCATTTTACAGATAAGGAAATGGTGGAAAACAAGGTTAAGCGACTTTCCCAAGGTCACACAGCTAGTAAGTGTCTCAGGCTGGAATTGAACTCATAAAGATGAGTCTTCCTGATTCCCAGCTCTATCCACTGCTCCTCCTAGATGTCCCCTGAGAATACAGGTAGATTTGCTTAAATCATAACAAGGTTACCAAAGGACACAAAGATAGTGTCTAGGACAGAAAGGGTGACCATATACACAACAGGCATGTATATATGTATTGTTTATATGCGTGCATATAAACAATACATATACACATATATAAAATGCACTACTATATATGCAGAGCACATCATTTGATTACAGTATGGTTAATTACAAGTACGTAGACATACACAATTCTTTCTAATGTATTTGTGTATAGGTAGACTTTGTTTTGTATAGAGGGCACATTTGATTTCAGTGAAATAAATTTTGTGTCACAGATACTTTATAGCCAAGTTTTTGAACTATGAATTCTCAGAATTCAAGAAACATCCAGCTCCCAATAGAAGAAAATCACAACCTAACCAAGAAAGCTATTTTTTAATGATTCACACCACATTTTCTCCTCTATTAATACAGACAGGATTTGACTACATCCCCATTTTATAAAGAAAAACAAACAGTGAGCATGTATGACTTGGAATAAGCCACTTAATCTATGATGAGTCAGTGGCAGATCTGGGAAATGAAGACAGATTTCCTGATACCCAGATCAAGGCTCAGACCACAAGACTACAAACCGTTAACTCCCTCCAACAAACTGTAGAACTAAAGACTCACACATGAGGCTTTCCTACAACAGAAAATAATGAAAAACTTAGTACATTATGTCAACTTAAAGTGATATTACTAGGAGGCATAAGTAGCTAAGAAATTTAAAAAAAGGAACCAAAAGCTTAAAAAGTTACCAGATTAGTACCTGGCAGTTGTTTCTTGCTTCAAAATCATCACTTCCAGATTTTCTTTCCTGATTTAATTTTTGATAACTCTCTTGTAGGAGGTAACAAACCAACCACTTGTATGCTGCCAGAGGAACTTAAAAACAAAAGAAATGACAGCTGTCACATGACTATAACTTGGGAGGTTCATGCCATTAGCAAGCACTTACCATCGTGGAGTTCTAAACTTAAAACAGGTAACTAACAGGAGCTCATGTGATGTGGCACTTCATGGCTACTCAGCACTGTAAGGACATTATCTTGACTGATTCTTCCAATGATCCTGTGGGGGTCGATTGTGCAAGCATGAGCACCTCCTCATTTTGCAGATGAGAAGACTGAGCAGAGCCCTTAAATGACGTGCCCAAGTTTGGGAAGCCAGCAGGAGGAGGCGGCACAAAAACACACCCCAGGTTTGTTGACATCAAGGCCTCTGTTTTGTTTAGCACATCATGCTGCCTCTCTGGTGCGTGAAGGGTTGAATGTTGTTTTTAACAAAATGAGTACTCTAGATGAAGCTAATCTTTCAATCATCAAGCATTATTGTACTGTGCTAGGTTCTAGATATATAAAGATAAACAGAAACAGTCCCTGCCCTCATGGAGATTACATTCTAATTGGAAAAACTACATGTACCCATATGAACATATATAAAACATGTAAAAGGGAATCTTTGTAGGGAGAAGGTAGGAGAGATAGCAGCTGGGGAAAACCAGGAAAAGCAGAAGATGGAGCTTCAGTGAAGTCTTGAAGGAAACCAGGGTCTCCAAGAGTGGAGAAATTACCTCATTCCCATCACATGAATGGGGAGGGCAGCCAATGCAAATGTACTGAGATAAGCAATAGAGTGCTGCAAATCTAGATTGGCTGAACTACAGAGTGCATTCAGGGAATTAATATGTAATAAGGCCAGACAGGTAGGAAGGGGCCAGCATGTAAAGAGCTGTAAATGTCAGAGGGGTTTTATATTGTATGCTAAAGGTAACAAAGAGCCACTGTTACTTAATTAGTAAGGGAATAGCATGGCTAAGACTGCACTTCAGGAAAACTTTTTTGACAAATGTGTAGAAGATAGATTGGAGTGAGAAAAGACTTGAATCTGGGAGATCAGTTAAAAGTCTACTGCAAAAATCTGGATGAGAGGTGATAAGAGTTTGAGATATGAGTAGAGAAACTGGGTATATGTAAGTTATGGAGACAGCAACTGATTGGCTATTGAGGTGAATGAGAAATTGAGAATAATACCAAGGTTATAAACCTGGGTTACTGGAATGATAACAGTGGGGTAAGGGAGGACAGGTAAGAAAACAAGTTCTGTTTTGACACGTTGAGTTTCAGATGCCTATAGGACATACAGTTCAAAATGTCCAATAGGCAGTTGGTGCCTAGAGTGGGGGAGACAGACTAGGGCTGGACTACCAAAAGATGATAGTTAATCCCATGGGAAGTGACGAAGTCACTGAGTATAGAAAAGTAAGAAGAGGAACCAGAACAGAGCTTTGGGGAACACATGTGGTTAGAGGGAGTGATGTAGACAATCCACCAAAGAAGACTAAGATGAACCAGCAAAGAACACTGTCATGACAAGCCAGAGAAGATAGAATATCTAAGAGGAGCTGGCCAATCATATAAAATGCTGCTAATAGGTCAAAAGGAAAAAGGCCTGGGAAAGGGCTTTGGATTGAAGAGATTATACTATACTGATTGCATTTTTTTAAAAGGACATGTTTACTCTCAAAGAGCTGCTCTAGAATTCCTTTTATTCTTAGTCACAGAAATAAAGATTCCAAATCCTTTTAAGTAAAATTCATTTTGAACTAACTCAGTTTTACAAAGTTACTAGAATGTTTATTATTAGAACATTAAAAAAACCTGCTATATTTCTTGCATAGCAGTAATTTGGGGAACATTCATATTGACTGACATTTCTACAAATTTATTTTTATATCCTTTTATATTTCATTATTTCTTAAATTCTTCCTCTGATGGTCAGTTCTCATGAAGATGAACAAAAGATTGCCATCATGAGGATGGTAATATTTTCCATGATTTATTTACACAGCAATGAATTGTTTTTGCTAATTCCTTTTTTCAGCAAATCAGAGGTAACAGCTGCAAAATGACCCACCAACCGTGGGACTATTCCATTTACACACCACAACATGTGCTGTTTCTCAAATGCTGCCCCAGAATTCTTAAATTGGAAATCATGGAATTGTAGAATGTTAGAGCTGGGAAAAAAGAATCTAGTCCAATGCCTTCATCACTTATTTGTTATTCAGTAACTGGCCGTGTGTGTGTGTGTGTGTGTGTGTGTCTTTCCCTTCGAGAGCATAAGGTAGATGGCCACTCACTGGGGATACTGTTGAAGGGATTTTTGTTTAGATACAAGTTGCACTAGAAGAGCCCTGAAGTCTCATCCAATTCTGAGATTACATGAGACTTGAAGTCTTTATGCCACTCTGTTTAACTTTTCCTATATATAAACTGGGAATATGGTTATTTGTGAATGTGTCCTTTTACTAGACTGCAAACTTCTTGAAGGCAGGAGTTGTGTGCTTTTTCAGTCTTTCATTACTGCCCCTCACCCACCCAGATATGGGTAGTGTTTTTACACATATTAGCTACTTTTAAAATGCTTGTTGAATGGAAATGTAAAGTCACCTTACTTAAATCCAACTTACTCATTTTATAGATAAAGAAACTGAGGCCAAAGGGAAATACTTTTCCATTGGTCAGAATTATTTGAATTCTCAAAGCAAATCATATGACAATATTTACCGTAGAGTCTCTAATATTAACACTAGCATTAGGTTTGCTTTATCCTTCCGATGGCCTTTTCTCAGACTTCTTGACCTTTCTATAGCATTGATCCTGTTGACAACCTCCTCCTTCTTGATAACTTCTTGCTTGGTTTCAATGACACTCTTCTCCCCTGGTTCTCCAATTTCATGTCTGCCTACTCCTCAATACCCAATAGTTCAGCATCCTTACCCCAAACCCTGGATGTGGGTATCCTCCCCTAAGATTTTGTCCTTAGTCTTCTTGTCTGTCAGAATAATCTTGCTGACAAATGTCTAACTTTGTTAACTCTCTTATTACATTTTCCTAGACTATAGCACAGAGTGTACATGTGGTAGTACAAATGGCTAAGAATAGTTTGGAAGAGAAACAAGACCCACGGTCTGGTTAAGGAGTATATCCAAAATGCAGAGGAGATGTAAGTGAGAAGTGATGAAGAAGGACCCCAAGATAATACAGCAGAAACAGGCCTTTCAAGTGGCAGGGGTTTGAATCATGGCTCTGAGCAGGCACTTCAGCTAGGACACAGTTTCTTCATATGTAAAATAAGGGGTCTGGATTGGACAATCTGCAGTCCCTTCCAGCTCTAGTGTATGAGCATATATGATCTTTCCATGGTCCAAGGCTTTCCTTGAGTGTCATTCATTCCACTTAGGGTGGGACAGGGAAGCATAAGTGCAGAACGCCAAGAGAGGATTCAACGAGGAGGTGCACCATCAAGTAGGAGAACTGGATTGAGAAACATTTGGAATCCAACACACTAAGAACACACACGGCTGCAGAGGCAAGTAGTGAATTAACACTCTTGCTCAAGGCCTGTTATGAGCCAAGTGCCTCTCTGGCCATCTTGTCCACACACAACTGATAAGCATCAGCTGATGCTGACTGCAATTGTACATGAAATACAGGATGAAGTGAACTGAAGAAAAATAATGGATGAAATAAAAAAAAAAATCAATCACCCAGAAGGACATGTAAAGCACAAAACTTTTGGAAGATTTGCTCCAAAATGCAGTAAGCGAATCTTAAGTTAATTACTTTGTAAAACTTTCTTGACTTTATCACTACTTGTCTCAAACAAGGTTGTAAATTTATTGATTGACATGCTAGCATATATTCAGGATGAGTACAGAGCTAAAAACCATGTCATGTAAGGAATAGTTAAGGAAACTTGGAACATTTTGTCTGGATAAGAAAAGCCTTTTGGGGAGTGGGGGAGGGGTGACCATTGCAGTCTTCAGATATTTCCAGTACTGGCTTGTGAAGGCCTGGCAGCTTTATTTTGTTTGGCTCCAGGAAGCAGAACTAGGACCAATGGTTAAAAGTAACAGGGAGGCAGCATTTGGCATAACAGAAGAAAGCACTTCCTAACATTCAGAACTGTCTCGAAACAGAATCAGTTCCCTCAGGCACCAGTGAACTCCAGTCAGTGGCGGTCTTCAAGGAGAACGTGAATGAGCATTTGTCAGATATGTTTCTAGGAAGGATTCATACACTCTATGGGAACTGGACTAGATGATCTTTTTTTTGGAATGCTGTGATGTTATGGTATCCTTAGCATAACCTCAATTAAGGATCACCCAGACATGAGGGACCATTCTCTAGGTCTTTTAATATTTGGGGGATGTCAGTGGCTAATTCAGCCTTACCCATTTCCTTTACAGGTCATACAATTAAATTCATATTAAGCACCTACTATGTACCAGGCATTGTGCTAAGTGCTGGGGCTACAAAAAGAGGTCAGACATGTCTTTTACTCCAGGCCTACTGTCATTAGTAATATATCATACTCTAATTACAGTACACTCACGCTTCATCTTTCTACTGTACTTTGTGTCATCTACACTTCTGATTCTTACGAGATCATGGTGGTCCATGGTTCACAGGCATATACCAGCACTGAGAGAATATTGATAGGTTATGAGAACGCACCTTGGCAGCAGCAAGTAGCCTGTGATCCAAATGTAAAAGGGGAATACATGACTCACTTTCAGAAAGTAAATAAAAACCTTTCGCATAGAGTTTATGAAGTAAATCATGTTTTCAATGCAATAAATACTAAACTAATGCATAAAACAGACAAGTTAAATATGCTTCCCCAAAAACAAAGATTTATCCCTTGATAGATTGGGTCCATCAAGTTTGACGAATTTTTTAATCTAGCAAACAGACTGACTTTAACTGGGGTCACTCAGTTTCTCTGGAGCATCCTGATTCTACATGAAGCATAATCTTTACTACAAATCCAGATGAGACAAAACTCATTTAGTCAGTGCAAAGATTCAGGATTAAATGATCAAATTCATCTGAGGCCAAGGTTTTGGCTCAATATGTTAATTTCCTTTCCAACTCTATCTAGAGAGATGATGCCTTTTTTTTGCAACAGCAAACAATTTTTTAAAAATGAGTTTTACTTGAAATGCTTCCTTCAGAAGCATTTTTACAAAATGAGGGTAACTCACAGGACAAACAGATGATTCCAACTTATTTACTAGATATACAATACTCAAAAGGCTTCGTTTGCTGAATTTGGGGAAAGATAGCATACCAAGGCATATCTGTTTTATGACCTATCAAATTAATGAAGACCAAAATGTTACAATAGGTGACAATTCTTTAAAAAGAATGTGGATGTTACTCCCATTGTTTTATAAGATTACCAGATACAACCACAGGCCCTGGAGTCAAAAGGACCTGAGTTCAAATTCAAACTCAGATATTTACTGTGTGACCTTGGGCATATTATGTAACCCCAACTGCCTCCCCCCAAAATTACCATATACTAACACTGATGGAAACATTAGTTAATACATACTTGTTAGTATCTTCTAGTGAGTTTTGAGTTTCCTTAGATTATTGGCACTTAGAGAAAAAAGATAAAAATAACAGTAATAATAACATACTTTTCTTTATAAATAGACAAAGCATGCATATGTCAATGTATTAGTCATATTTACATAGTATTTTAAGGCTTATGAAGCCCTTTCCCTCACAATCACCCAATGAAGCAGGTAGTACAAATGTTATTGTAACCATTTAATAGATGGTTATGTGAAGCTTAGTGACTTTCCCAGAGTCATAGAGCTAATAAAATTTGTAAATAGCATTTAAATCGTGGTTGATATTGACTCCAAGTCCAACTTGAAGACTAAATACTTGCCAAGAATTGAGCAATTATATAGTAGTATTTTTTCGAGAAAAGTTCTATCAATTGAAGAATTCTATGTGGTGAGAATCCAACCCTCCTTACAACTCTGATGTGCAACTAAATTCCATAATCTCCTACCTTAACATTGTTTTTTAAAATGAAGATTGCTTGGCATATCATGGACCTCAAAATTAAGATGGTTATTTTGTTTTGGGTTTTTAAAGGTTGTGTCAAATTTTTTAAAAGTTCTTTTTTAAAAGTGCTCCAAGTTTTCCCATTTTTTGAGTATGCTTTTCTTCTCACAGATGTTTAATTTTCAGTCATGCACAATTTTGTATGGCTGAATCTGTGCAAGCCTTCATGACTGACAATTTGTGTCTTGGTTGATTATCTACCACGTCCTCTTCCAGATGTCAGGGAGAATACCACAAAACAATGTATGTTAGCCAATGAAGTGATAACAATGGCTGGCTTTACTGCTTCAACAATTTAATCCTAGGCCCTCCACACTCTATCCTTATTTCACATTACTCCCCTTTCATAAGAGGCAAAGTTTGCCGTGTTTGTGAGTGTGAACATTTTTTTTTTATATGAGGCAACTGGAGTTAAAGTGACTTGCGTAGGCTCACATAGCTAGCAAGTGTCAAGTATCTAAGGCCGGATTTGAACTCAGGTCCTCCTGACTCCAGGGCCAGTGCTCTATCCACTGTACCACCTAGCTGCCCCTGAGCTTACACATCTTTGAAATGTGCAGTAAACATGAGAGGATAGGGGAGAACAAAGTTGAGATTCCGTGTTATATTCTCCCCATGATCCCCAGAAGGACACACTGACACCTCTCACAAGAAGTTTCATACCATCTAGACTATGCCATTAGTTTCATCTGATCTCCCTGCTTCTCCAGTCTATCCTGTACCTATCACCAAACTCATCTTCCTGAGTGAGTAAATCAATTCTCTTCAAAGCTTTCAATGGCACTACACAGTTAACAGGATAAAGCCCAAACTTTTTAGGATAAAACCCAATCCTTAATGATCCCTCAATTTATTCATTTAGAGATACACAGATGACCAGAAGGGCAGCCTGAGTAAGAGCTAGAGGTGAAATAAACTTGAGGTGCCTCTATACTCTGAGGAGTTAAAATTGCTCACTCTGAGAGACCGAGGTAGCTTTTGAGCAGGCACTTGGCCAAGAAAGAATGATTAACTACTGTTAGCAAAGGGAAATCCTATGGCCAAATTAAGTATATTTTGTTATGTAATATTCTAATGTTTTCAGTATTTAAAAAATCTGGACTTGCTGGGTAGTTTACCACTGGCTTGGTTCGAATCCCCATGATGTATCAAAAAGGAAATAATAAGTGAATAATAATAATTCCTACTTCTATAGCAACTTAAAGTTTACAAAGTGCTTTTCTTCCAACAGTTCTATGGGGAAAATAGTATATCCCCTTACAGAGGAAACTGAGCCCTAGAGAGGATAAGGGACTTCTAGGGTTACACAGCTCGGAAGACTCTGAGACAAATTCAAACCCAGATCTTCAGATTGCAAGTCCAGCACTTTTTTCAATAAAACACAAAGTTTTCCTGAAATAAAACCCTATGTTCTTAATCGTGCCCTAAATTAAGTAATCTACAATTATTTTCTTGGTATTTAAAATGCATAGTGAATTTTGTGATTGTGACAATGTAAGATAAATTATAAGATTTAATTAATATAAGAGAATAGTAATATTCTCTTAAAAATAAGAGAAAATAGTTACCTGAAGAATCCATGCAATCTTCAACTCTGGATATCTTAAATTTCTGGCCAAGAATATCTTTAAAATCTTCAAGAAAATTTACAGATTCCAGTGGACTTTCAATACGAGTTTTATCTGACAAATATTAAACATACTTATTGAAAGAACAGAACACAAAAATTAAGAATATGTACTCTAACTGAATGAATGTTGACTCTAATAAGCTGTGCTCTTTCTATAATCAATATCCATTCAGAGTTATCACTTTAATAGTGGTTTATGATCATACTAAATCACATAACCATAGAATTTTAGAATTAGAAGGGATTTCAGAAGTCATTTAATCCAATCCCTGACTTTCTGGATGGGGAAACTGAGGCACAAAGAGACTAGGCAGCTTGCCTAACAGCAATGCTGGGACTAGAACCTTGGTCTCTTAGCTCCCAGTCTGGTGCTCTTTCCATATCAGCATTCAGCAACCCCTGACTTCCAGGACCTCAAGACCTAGGCACATTCAACAGAGGGAGGAAGAGCTGGATCAGAAGGTACCATCAGTGACCTCGTGACACAGTTATAACTGCCTTCCTTACCTGCTGAAATGTTCCCTGCCTGAGACTCAAGCAATTTACAGAATCACACAATACATAAGACTTTCTCCAGACACGCAAACAACACAGTGTGATACAAAAACAGACTTGCAGAAAAAGCTGCCCATGTCCCAGATTCCAGGGCTGCCCTGCTGGGCCACGAGGAGGCTTCACATGGCTCCCTTGCTCAAAGTCACTACCATGCTTCACTCAAGAGACCCAGAATAGTGCCAGCTGCTAGGCAGTGCCAGGGCTGGGCTGGGAATACCAGCCCAGAGGTGGCCTTTTCCTGCCTTTGTCTGCTTCCAGGCAGATGGCTTCAGGGTAGAAGAGAGTCTGGTGTCCTCATCCTCATTAGTGGTCTTACAACCAAATGCTGCCCACCAGTACCCATCAGCAGCTGCTCTTCTTCTCTGACTGGGATAACATTTCACAGCACCACACTGCCTCTCTCAACTTATACTTTTTAAAGCAGTGGTTCTCAAAGCTTTTGGTCTCAGAACCCCTTCACACTTAAAAATTACTGAGAACCCCAAAACAGCTTTGATTTATGTGGGTTACATCTGGTAGAGTACTAGAGCCAATTTATACTGGCTCACAAGAGCTGAGCAGTAAATTTTCAGTGAGAACATTTAATGCCTTGGATATCAGCAAAGACTATAAATCTGGCCTTTGCTGTTTGTCTAGACTTGAAAAAGTGATGGAGAAAATGTTAATAATACAGATTAAACTTAAAAAGTGTTTCGTTCATTTTCAGAGAACCAGTTATTAAACACTTACCAGCATATCACTGGTTATAGCTGTCAATACTTAGCATTTTAGAAATTAAAACTGATAAAATGTAAAAAATATTTATTTACTAATTTATTTCAAAGTAACAGTAAGTCCATGACACATTAACAAAAATAGCATAATTTTAGGAAAAATAAATTATACTTTCCAAAACAAAAAAAATTTGTTAGTTATTTTACATATCTGGTTTAATAAAAGATAGCTGTATTCTCATATTTGTTTCTTCATTCAATCCATTGTAACATGTTATTTTGCTTGAAGTATATGAAGAAAAACTAGCCTCACATAGACATGTAGTTGGAAAAGGGAAGAACATTTTAACGGACAAATAACGTCTTAGTATCATTATTATTATTTGCAATCAGGGTTAAGTGACTTGCTCAGGTCACACAGTTAATGAGTGTCTGAGGCCAGATTTAAAGCCCGGCCCTTCTGATTCCAGGACCAGTGCTCTATCCATCATGCCACCTGGTATCTTCACAAACACGGGTTTAACGTCAGGGAATCCCAGGGTCTACAAACCACATTTTGAGAATCAGTGTCTCAGATATAAGGCACATTTTAAAAGAACATATCAAAAAGAAAATGCTCTTATACACGCTACAAGACTCACAACGTGTCTTTGAACAAGATCGCCCACAGTGCACTACCCCATGAAGAGCACTAACCTTGATGTCTGTCTGTAATGCAGTTCAGTAAATAGTTGCTGGTCTGTTGAAGCAGGACGTTGTTATCTCCTTCGTAGGTGCAGTTTGGATCATTGTCATTTCTGATGTCACCCAGACGATTCACTGCAATGAAACCGCCATTTCCAAGGCTTATGGTGTGTATCAGACATGGAGTACAATAAAGATGATTATAACTGATAAGTCACGAGCCCCAAATTCTAATTTCAGCATAACGAGTGAAGCAGACAATGTTAAAGATAGAAGAAATTATATGAAATTATCTCTCTTAGTCTCTCAACTAACAGAAGTACCTACTGTTTTCATCAAGAAACAGCATTCCTAGGAAGGGGTTCCATAGATTCCTAGAAGGGGTAAGAAATAACAAATGGAGTGGAAGGAAAATAGCGTATCTTGGAAAGGGACATTACAAACCAAATAACATCACTGGAATAGAAAAATGGATGTGGTAGGGAGAAGTAAGGAAGATTAGGGCCTGAACTCTTACCTGGGGTTGGGAAGTAAGGGATTAAACAAATTAAAAAGATAGTGAATAACAAAAGTCTACAGAAGGAATTTAGGATTGGGCAAAGTAATGGGAGAAAAGGAGATATTCCAATATCGACTGATTTGATCTCCTTGCTGTCCAAGGAACTCTGAGTCAAAAGTCTTCCTAGCACCACAATTCAAGCCTCAGTTCTGCAGCACTCAGCTTTCATTATAGTCTAACTTTCACAGTAATGTATAACATTACTACTGGAAAAGACATAGCTTTGAATATATGGACTTTTGTTGTCAAGGTGATGTCTCTGCTTTTTAGTATGCTGTCCAAATTTGTCATAGGTTTCCTTCCAAGGAGCAAGAGTCTATTAATTTCATGGCTGTAGTGCCGTCTGCAGTGACCTTTGAATCCAAGACTAAAAATCTGACACTGCTTCCATTTCTTCTTCCTCTACTTGCCAGGAAGTGATGCGCCCAGTTGCCACGACCTCAGTTTTTTTAATGTTAAGCTTCAAGTCAGCTTTTATACTTTCCTCTTTTACCCTCATCAATAAGCTTCTTAATTCATCTTTACTTTCTACCATAAGACTGACAGCATCTCCATATCTGAGATTGCCAATATTCTTCCCAGCAACCTTAATTCCAGATTTTGATTCATTCAGTCTGGTATTTTGCATGATGTAGGGGGACAATATACAGCCTTGTTGCATTCCTTTTCCAATCGTAAAACAATCAGTTCTTACATGTTCAGTACTAAGTGTTGCTTCTTGACCTCCATGCCTGCATACAGGTTCCTCAGGACACAAAGAAGATGATCTGGTACTCTTATCTCTTTGAGAACTTGTCATATTTTGTTGTGATCCACACAATCAAAGGCTTTAGTGTATTCAACAAAGCAGAACTCCCTTGTTTTCTCCATAATTCAGCAAATGTTGGCACACTCATTACAAGATGGTACATTTTTTTAAATGCCAAAAGGAAACTGAACTCAGAGAAATGGAAAAACCAGTGAAGGTCCTGAAAAGGTGGCAAATATATTTCCTTTGTCATGGTATTAAGGAAAGCCGAAAGTCAGCTGACTGTCTACCTTATGTGATGGTGTTTGCTTAATTGCTTTCCTTTGTCACAGAAAGGGTTCATTCTCTAGGGGATTGTGAGGAATGACTGTGATACAAAGACAATGCCATTAAATGAAAAGGAGTACTTGGCAAACTTCAAGATCTATAAAAATGTGAGTAACTAAGGGGCAGCTAGGTGGCGCAGTGGATAGAGCACCGGCCCTGGATTCAGGAGGACCTGAGTTCAAATTCGGCCTCAGACACGTAACACTTACTAGCTGTGTGACCCTGGGCAAGTCACTTAACCCCACTGCCTAACCAAAAAAGAAAAAACAAAAAAAAATGCGAGTAACTGCTTTGCTGTAAAACATCACTCGGTAGAAATGGAGGAGAGCTTTGTGTTACTGAGGCATCCTTAAGCACAGAAATTCACCATTGAATGCTTTAACATTTTCTGACCCACCATTTGAAAATTTGTGAGAAGGGTAAAAGAGGCAGTTGACTCATCAAAACTTTTGCTAATACAAAATTTTAAAAGACATAAAGGACTGAAACACATATTTTCATTTCTGAAACATCCACCAAAAAAAAAATCATTGTTTGAGTCATCAAATTAGAGTCTTAAAATTTTTTTTAACATAAAGAATGTTCCTAATTGTACCAATTCTTTAACTCACAAAACATTTGTCATGTAAGGGATCTTGCCTCCTCATTTTACAGACGATGAAGCAGGTATTATGTGGAGGAATTATGTAAAGAGCCCACAGTCATATTGTAGCAAGTTAGGTAAAACCAAGATTAGAACTCAGGGATCCTGACTTCCACCAACCTGTCATCCTTTCACTGTACCACATTCTCTCCCTACTGAGAGAATCCTGTCAGTGAATATTACCAAGTAGTTAAAAAGGAAGTCGAATTCAAATTAATTGGTTTGGAGTTTCCATTGAAATTTTAATTGCTTTGCTTATCACAGATTCTCTTTATGGAATGCATTATCTTCAATTTAGAGCAAACCTCTTTAGGCATCCAAAGTTAAATGGTAGGGTTAAGGACAAAAGAGAAGACTATCCTCACACTTACTGGCCAAATAGCCATGTCCTCCACAAGCTTCTCGACATTCCTGAGCTCCTTGCTGGGCAGTCCAGGAAGCTAGAGGTTTGCCAGCAGATGCCAATGCATGAATTTCACGTCCAAGTTCAGCCTTAAAAAGGAGGGATTAATCAGAAGATTTTTAAAACCTCAAAACAACAAATAATATTCCAAAGGGGGCTCATCTTATGAAACAAGTATATTTCAAAATTATGCATAGGAAATTAATGGTATATTAAATTGTATACAGGGTATAGCAGAATTTGGAATTAGAAAGAAAAGCTGGGGTCAACTACTTGTTCTAACACTAATCTGTGTGACTAATGGTAAATAATTTTATTTTTTGAGCCTCATTTTCCCCAAATGAAAAAAAGAAGACAATATTTCCATTTCCTGTCTCATGAGGTTACTGTGAATTTTGCAAATTTGGGGGCACTCTATATATGTGAGATGATATAATTATGATTATTATTGGCATTAATCTGTTATGTCTCTATTATTTATAATTAAGGGAATGGGAATGATGAATAAGTCAGATTATAATTTGAGAACCATTTGTATCAGGAATAAAAAAGCCAAAGGGATATCCAATAGTAAAAAGTTTTGAGCTGGCAAGGGGAGACCTTGAAGATCATTCAGTCTAGCCCCTCATTTTACAGAGGAAGTTACTCCTCTCTGAGAGAAGTGGGCACACAGCCGCCAGTGGCAGAGTGAGGACTAGAACCCAGGTTTTGGTTTTTGTTTTTTACTGCCAATACAGTACAGTTTCAAGTCTATTTTTCTAATACTCACTACTTCAACCTTATGACTTTGATAACTCAATGTTTAACCCTATGAACCAACTGCAATTGTAGAAGAACTAAAGAAATTGTAAAAGTTTTTTCAAGAGGGTGAAAAAATAGGAACACTAATGCGCTGTTGGTGGAATCGTGAATTGGTTCAACCATTCTGGAAAATAATTTGGAACTATGTTTAAAGGGCTATAAAACTCTGCATGCCCTTTGACCCAGCAATAACGCTAGTAGGTCTATACACCAATGAGATCAAAGAAAAGGAAAAAGGACCCATATGTACAAAAATATTTATAGCATCTCTTTTTGTGGTGAGAAAGAACTGGAAACTGAGAGGATGCCCATCCATTGGGAGAATGGCTGAACAAACTGAGGTATATGATTCTGACAGAATACTATTGTGCTATAAAAAAATGATGCAGATGGTTTCAGAAAAACATGGACTTATATGAATTGATGCAAAGTGACACGAACAGAACCAGGAGAACATTGTACACAATAACAGCAGTATTGTAACAGTAATCAACTGTGAAAAACTCTTATCAATACAACAATTCACCACAACTCAAAATATTTCTTAAGCACTAATTCTATAAAGAAGAGTCCTTCATTTGTTTTGAGCTAAAAGGGTACTGTGTCTTCAATGAACATATCATAGCTATTTAACTAGCATCGCTTTAATAATCGTAAGCATGCCAACAAGTATTTGGAATTATCTTACCTGCCTGATACTTTTATCATCTTGTAAAAGGCCTCGCTGAAGTTCTACCAAGTCCATGAACAAAGTTTTTGAGAAATGGTCTAAGGCATATGTAGCTGCCAAGTAAGGAATCAGGCGCCATTGCTGAAAAACAAAGAAAACTTGAATAAATATAACATACTTCATACTTAGCTCTCATTGAGTGTCCTATAAGACTTTTAAGTAGAAATTTAAAAATTACTCCAGTGATTTTTTTTCTGACCCAGTTCCAAAATCATATTCCTTTTAATATCCCACCAACCTAACAAATACCTTGAATGAATTAGTTATAGCCTTACTTCATTTCATTCACATTCCTTTTTTTTTTTAAATAAGGAAATAAAAAGGAAAACTTCCCAACAATGAGAACTGCCAAACAATAGAGAGAGCTGCCGCATGAAGTAGTGAGTTCCTAGTCACTGGAACATTACCTTTCAGGGATGATGACGATAATGATGATGAAAGGTTGAATCCTAAAGGTCTCTGCCAACTACAGTAAATCATCATCCTTCCTGCCAACTGAATGGACTTGCTTTTTATAATTTCAGTGATCATTTATGACAGGCTCATAAAAAAAGAAAAATGGTCAATATTAACATCTACAAGTCAACTGTTTATTTTTCTAGCTCTGGGATCTCCCTGATGTGGGTACTCCCTTGACTGATGCAGATCACATCACCTCCGTGCCTTTTCATTTTATTGTTCATGTTGTTCTATAAATTCTTCAGAGGATCCATCCAACTTGCTAGAGACCTTCCTCCAAGTCTCTTAATATTTCACAGACCTCTGCCCAGTAATCAGGACATCCACCCATTGCTTTCAATTCTGCTATATGACCACTCCACTCCTTTTTCCAGTTACTAAAATATTAAAGGAAACACACTGCCTATTCTGGAAAAAAAAATCCTTTTAACCATGTTCTAAGCAATACTTAAAAGCAATCTTACCACCAAAAGTGTGGTGGAAAGGATTAGCTGTTTGGGGTGTAAGGTACTGAGTCATAGTCAGTGATTAATGACTGAATGCCTTCCTGTGCTGGGGCCACACTTCTGTTGCTTATCTCCTTCCTTGAAAGGTTTCCCTTCAATTCCCTTCAATCACCTAACTGTCGCCATTTAAGTTAATATATAAATAAATCTCACTACCCTACACACACACAGACACACACACACACATACATACATACATACATACATACATACATACATACATACATACAAAATCCCATTTCATGAGCTTATACCTGCATTTGATATTCAAGGACTGGAATTTCTTCATCATCACTTGGTCCAAACTGACGGCGAGTTGCTGAGAAACGAATTGCTATTGATAGGGCCAGTTTCAAATTCACCACAGACATTCCTATAATGCAAACTCTACCAGTAGACAGAGAACCCAGTGAAGCACCAAAACGTTGTCGGACATCCTGTTGGTATAAAAGATAGAAATCATTCAAGCAATCAATAAATGTGTTGGCTGCCTTTATAAATAACTTTTCAATTCATTCAACAAATATTTGTTAAATGCCTGACTGGGTTAAGAGGTAGGGGAGATAAATGTTTAGCTAAAACTTTATCCCTTCCTATACAGCATGTTTACAAAATTCAAAGATGCTGAAAATCTAGAACTGACAGCTAATACGCTGGACAAGATAATCAGGATCCAAAAGACTTTGGATAGTCCAAAAGAGGGGTAAAAGAACCTGTGGCCTCGAGGCCACACATGGCCACCTAGGTCCTTGGATGCAGCCTTTTGACTGAGTCCAAGTTTACAGAACTGATCCTTTTTTTAAAGGAGATTTGTTCTGTGAAGTCTGGATTCAGTCAAAGGGCTGCACTTGAGGACCCAGAAAGCCCCATGTGGCCTTGAGGCCATAAGTTCCCCATCTCTGACAGAATATTGCACCAAATGTAAGATGAAATTTGAGAGAAGTACATCTTGGTACAGGATGGAGAAGAGATGGCTAGAGAAGAGTAAAGGTGTGTGTGTTGGGGTGGAGGAGAATCTGGGGGTTTTGGTGAACCATAAGTTCAAAATGAAGTTAACCGCATGATCTGGCAGCCAAAAAAAGCTATAAAGCTTCTAATAATGTACTCTTAGGCAGCATTATTGAAGCACAGTATTCAGAATGATGGACACAAAAGTGCCATTGGGTTCAGACCATCTCTAGAGTACTAGGTTCAGTATGGGATGATACATTCCCATACTGAAAAAAAGAAAAACATTAAAAAACTGGTGTATCCAGAAGGAGGCAAACCATATGGTGAAAGGGCTGAGGACTATGTGATATGGAGACTGGTTGAAGGAACTAGAGATACTCAACCTAGAGAAGAAAATACTTAGAAAATAATGGCTGACGTCAAGTATCTGAAAGGCTGCCAGGTAGAATAAATGAATGAGCACCTATCAGGTGATTGTTACCTGCTAAGCACTAGGGACACACAAGAAACAAGGCAATGCTTGCTCTTAAGAAGCTCATGTTCATTTAATAGTGGAGACATATTGGGATTTCAGCTTTAAGTCAAATGGAAAGGCTGGATGGTCATTAGGGTGCAATGGCACAGCAGATGGTGATTCATCTTGACTCATATGACTGTGCCAGAACTTTTTGAGTCTTCGATAGCTGTGGCTCCTCAAAGGACCATGGCTGTGGAACATGCAGCAGCTGAGTCACATTTACATAGATGGGAGGTGGGGCAGAAGCAGGGCCTATGATCTAGGGAGGCACTATTACTCCTAGGACTCTTGGGCTTGGGATCCTGGGCTATCATGATTGTGGTCTGAGGAAGTGGTAGTCAAGTTAGTAGTGGTTTGACTTGCCCAGTACATCCTCCTTCTCTACCCCCTGATGCTTTGGCTAGGACAAGTCTGCTTGCCTGTCCGCCCTGCTGGAGGCAGTTGATTGGCAGCCAGTAGGGACAGCTGGCCCCTTCTCCAGAGGAGTTGCTCCACAGATGATTGTGTGGGCTGTCCTACAGGCAGAGCAAGTGGTTTTGAAAGCATTACTCTTCCAGAAGCTCTGGGGCTTATGTGCCCAATGATGGAAATTAACTGATGGCTGGTATTAGTGGTGTCAAAAACAGTGGATCCATTTTCATAAGGGTTGATCCTCTCAAGGATGGCTACAGGAGACAGGCTGCAAATAGGGATGGAGTTCTGGGGAGGGGAAGAGGGCACTACCAGTCTGAGGGCTTGTGTACAAGGTCCTGAACTATGTCCACTCAAGTTTGAGGGAAAGTGGAAGTTATGGTGGTAGTGGGAAAGGAAGTTTGATTCCTCGGCTTCCTTTAGGGTACCCTGCCACTTTAGCTAGACTGGCTTACCTCCCTTGGGGGTGCAGAAGATAGATAAGACTTGTTTTGTTTGGCTCCAGAAAGCAGAACTGGTTATAATGGGGCAGAAGTTGCAGAGAAGTGGGCTTCAGTTCTACGTAAGGAAAAACTTCTAACAAAAAGAATTACGTAAAGGAGGAATGTGTTGCTGGAGGAGGAAGAGGTTCCACAGTACTAGAGGACTCCATGCAGAGCCTGGCTGCCTGACCTAGCGCTTGTCAGAGATGCCATCCAGGGGATTCCAATGTAGGTCCAGAGTGGCCTAGATGTTCTCTGATGTCCATACCCATGCTGAATCAGGGATTCATAGAGCTTTCAGTCTAGGCATAGTTTAACAGCTACTAAAATGACTACCATAAATTTACTATATCAATCAATCACAAGCATTTAACACCTACTACATACCAATCACTGTGCTAGACATTAGAAAAATCATATTCAATGACAAATTTGACCTTCTCTTAAGACCTAGCAAGTTAACCCTATTTTTATACTTTTCTATTCCCTGGCAGCTGTCGGGTGAGGAAGTGAAAGGGTGAAAGCCACTGCCTTATCTCCCCTCCCCGGATCTTTTGTATTTATTCTTTCCTACTACTAGGTCTCCTGATATAGCACAGGCCAGGTTGTGATTTGGTAAGCTTCAAAAGGTTGGAAAAGCCATTAGAGGTCGCCTCCGCTGGAGGTGATGGCAGAAACCTTGGAGCTGGAGGCAGCAACAGCACTGGCTAGTGAAGAGCTAACCCTGAGGAGATACCTGCTTGGCCCCATCCAGTGGTAGATGGGCACCAAGTGCTGCAAGTAGCTAGCTCAGCTAAGCAACAGAGTAGCTTATCCATTAGTGACACCACACCTAGAAGGTGGCTTGGTGGAGACCCTGCAAGTTGAAAACAGAACTCCCTAACCAAGAACTCTTCAGGTATGGCCGAATATGTTCTCTATACATGTGGCTAAGTACATTTAAGCTTCAAATTTGAGCCCACTCTCCCCAGGGGAGAGTACACCACTTAGTTTGGGGGGATATTTTTGACCTTCTATGCTTGCCATACCTTTCTAGTAAATATTCCTTTGTAAAAGGTAGATATCAACTAGCTAATCAATATGTGGAGAGGTGACCTTACTGGATAGGGGTACAAGTGCAATAATTTTAGAAACCTCATGTCTTCAGGGTTAGCCATAGAATCTCGAGGGGAGTAGGAGTAGCTGCCAACTCTGGGAATACAGTCTGCCAGTGCGAATTACAGGAATGAGCCCAGAGGGATCATGTGGGACCTTGTCTGAGATACTCTGGAGCCCTTTGAATTTGTGGAGAACTACTGAAGAGATTCTCCATCCAGTACTTTTGTTAATGGACACCCTAAGTTACAATAGTCACTTTAAAATAGCAATTTTTCTTTTTTGTTGTTTTAAATTATGATTTTGCATTAACTTTGCAAGCAAGACCAGTTTCTTTGTTATAAATTTTGCTTATTTAAATACTTATGTACTGATACCTGGTGTATTACTGCATTCACAATGACTACTGAAGCACGAGAAGCATGAATTCTGCAGCCTGAAAATGTTCATGTCTGGCTCACAAATGCTCACCTTTTTTTTCCTTTTTGCATTTATATAGCCCTAAACTGCTTGGCTTTCTGTGAGAACCTTATGGACTGCAGGTCCATATATTATGGTTTACCTGTTGGCCTAAACACTCTGAATAACCAACCCCCAAATGCCTAACCCCACTTGGGATCTGCCCAACCATTTGGAGCTTACCTGACCCTGTCTACTTTCTCTTAAAGCAGAGCTAGCTTGTCCTACAGATGAGTGAGTCTAAAATTCTATTCCAAATGCCTTTGCGGCAGCAAACATCCATGGGGGAAATGTCAGATGCCCTTTGGAACTGGGAGTTCCTTTAAAGGTCTTCTAGCCCACCCCACTCCCATTTTCCAGTTGACAGAACTGAGGCCCACAGAGGTTGAGTGACTTGCCCATATTTATATAGCTTGTAAGTCAGAAAACTGGGATTCAGATCCCAGCCCAGCACTCCAGGTTGGCTCCTTCCACTGCATCATACTGCCTGAAAAGGGCCAAGTTTCATTTGATGGGAAAATGTCACTCTTTGTATAATGGAAAATGGATCAGCTATTCATATGAATCTGTGCTTCTGATTGATAGTCATCATTTCATATACAAGTTCAATATAAGAGCACTGTACCTTAAAGGAAGTGTTGTAGACTCCCTCTGGGGTAACATCACCTGTTCGGTTTAGCAGGTTTTCCCGGGGAATTCTAACATTATGAAACATGGTGAATCTGTTCAAAGACATTAATGAGAGAACTCAGAGCTGTAAAAAAAAAATCCCTCAGTTGGTATAGCAGAAGCTTGGTTATACAAGGCACTACTAATTTTGATATTTCACAAGCTGGCTGCACCATATTACTAACAATGAACTAATATTGATAAACTTAACTCTTCCCAGCAATACAAGGATCTAAGACATCTCCAGAGGCCTCATGATGGAAAATGCTATCCACATCCAAAGAAAGAACTATGGAGTTTGAATGCAGACTGAAGCATACTATTTGCTATTTTTTTTTCTCTTCTGTTGCATTTTGTTTCCTCTTTCTGGTGGTTCCTCCTATTGGTTCTAATTCTTCCTTATAAGATGACTAATGTGAAAATATGTTTAATAGGAATATATATGTATAGCCTATATCAGATTGCACACTCTCTTGGGGAGGGAGGTGGGAAGGAAGGGGGAGAAAAATTTAAAACTCAAAAGCTTATGGAAGCGATTGTTGATAATTCAAAATAAATTAATTAAAAATTTAAAAAACAAAAAACAAACAAAAAACCAAAAAAACAAAGGCAGCCAATGGCAGTCCTGAGATTCTAAGAGACAGAGGCAAGGAGGGGATGTATTCGAGGCAAGGGACACAGTCAGAGCAAAGCCATGGAACCCAGAAGTGGAATACTGTACATGAGGAAAAGTAAGGGACACTCTGGACCATCATGGAAGGCAGCAATGTGTAACGAGACTGAAAGGGCAGGTTGGAGCCAAGGTTGGGAAGGGGCTTTAAATACCAAACAGAGGAGTCTGTATTTGCTCCTAGAGGTAACAGGAAGCCACCTAATTTAAAGATGAGCTTTTACTTCTTTGTGCCAGACTCCTAAGCCCTACCAAGCATGCCTTTCAGGATGAGCGAATCATTTTACCTCCATCCATGGAGTCTCCATGGGGGATAGTAAGACTTGAACTACCTACCTACACCTCACAGAATTGTTGTCAAGATGAATGCTTTGCAAAGCTTAAATGGAAACCATTTCTATTATTATCAGGGGCTTTCAGAAACTTTTCAAACCTTCTTCTTTGTGTTAACTAACAGATTAGTGGATGGAAAATGTACTTGTATGTTATTATTAGTATCATTACTAACACTATCACTATTATTTGTGATTAAGAAAAATACTAATGGTTTCATTGAGCTGAGCTGACTGAATATGGGAGAGAGCAGGCAGGGGAAAAGTGAACTGGATTTTAAATTAGTAGGCCAAGGCCCAAGGCAATCACATATTACTTGTGTGCTGATAGGCAAGTCACTAAACATCTCTGAGATTGAGTTCTTCTTTTGCAAAATAGGGATAATAGTTGCACTACCTATCTCATAAGTGTAGAAATCAACATATGTAAAGATCTTGGTAAACTATAAAGTGCTATCTATCTATATAAATGTGATCTATTACTCATGCTATGGATGTGCTGTCTGAAACTAGCCCTGGCATGAGCAGAACCATTGTTGTACTCTCTTGACATAGTAGCCATACTTGCTCCCATCCAGTTCCCATGATCCAGGTGTCTCATTTCCTGTTTTGCTAACAGTCTGACTGATACAACAGGATAAATGCCCTGAATAGTAAATATTCTGAGGAACAATAACACTGGTAGAAAAGTGGTATATTAGCAGAAGTAACCCCTTGTTTTCAACTTTTAAGTACTGACTTCCCTCCATGTCCTTGGATAACTCAGAAAACATTTGTCTCAATTTCCTGAGCCATTTCTCTTGATAAGATTAAATTATGAGGCCTGTTCATTAGAGATGTGTTGAAAAAACCCTAAAGACAAATATTAGAAACTCAAATCTATAAGTATTCAGATATTTAAAAATAGAGACTGTGGAACCAAAAATCTTAAAAAGGTCAAGGAAAAGAACTTATTTTTAAAAATTGACATCTTGCTAACTTTTGTAACATAACATGATGAACAGTAAGCAAAAAAAAATTAATGATAATTATGGAAACTAAGGCAAGAATTAAGCCTGCTAACTTCAAGTATTTTAAGGGCAGTCTTACAGAAGAAGGATTAGACTTCCCAGTTGGTTGCTGAAGGTAGAATTACTTAAACTGGGGAAATTGCAAAAAAACATAGATTAGAGAGAAGACAAAGCTTCTCAACCCTTTGAATTCTCTGAAAGCAGACAAGCTGCCTCCAAAGGCAACAGGCTCAGTAAGGCTGCAGAAGGGCTTCCTTTGAGGCACGGGCTGGACTAGGTGGCCACTAAGCTCCCTTCGAACTCATATTTTTCTGCCATAGGTTTCAGATAGAAACAAATATATTTTCCTGGAACTGAAAAGTATGCTTGGAGAGATTACAGTGGGCCTAGTTTTTAAAATACTGGACAACCATATGCATTCATGCAATAAAAAACTGTATTAATAATGAAAGGATTGTTTGCCAATTCAGAAAAAATTATTTCACAGTACTCTAGAGAGTGTGCCTATTCACACTAACAGATGTTATATAAACTATGCTAAATGTACTTGAAAAATATCAATAGTTCCTATAGCAACTTCTCTGGCTACTATGATCATTCTCAATTTCACATGCAGTATCCTTTTATTGAACCAGTCAAAGAAAACTTTAGAAAACAAGCCTAATATACTTTAAATGACATTGAGGCTGGAGAAGTAGACAGATACAGAGAAGACATTTTGTTGGCATAAAGACAGGTTATTTCACCAAGAAAGGCACTACTGAATAGGGCTGCACTTGAGGACCTAGAGGGTCACATGTGGCCTCAAAGCTGCAGGTTCCCCACCCCCACATGCTCTTTACAATGCCACCTCTACTTCTTGGGGATAACATTAATTGTAAAGCATTCTGACAATTTAAAACACTATTGAATGTAACTATAGTAAGTTGAGTACTTGTCAGTTCTTGCCTGATTTGCAATTGTTATTTTAATCAAAAGTTAAGCAAGAGTGTGAGAAAAACAATGAACCTGTGTGTTGGCCCAAAATAATTATTTCAATGAGGTAGGGAACTCCTTCTACCAATAAAGAAATTATTTTGTAGCTTACAGTCTTGGGGATTTACCTGGGGCATGGAGAAGTTAAATAATGCCCAAATCCATGGAGCCAGTAGTATAAAAGTCAGGCCTTGAACTCAGGCCTCCCTGAACACACTGCACAATACCACACTTCCTTTAATTAAAAATAGATTGTTTTTTTAAAAAATTGGGATCCAATATATAAACTGAAATCACAGTCCAATTAATTATTTTTCAGGCCAGAGAATGTCTTTTCAACTAGATCTGAAAAACTATTTCATTTAAAAAAAAAGTAGCCTTTTTAAGGAATGGAAAATGCTTGCCCTTTCTTTGCTGTTATTGAAAAGCAAAAAGGGATGAACCGATCACGATTAACTGTATACTTGTAAATAGACCATTAATCTGACATTAACAAGGAAATTGATGTTTATATTAAGGCATCATTAAATCACAGTATATAAAGAATAAAGAATTTAGTCCTGAAAGGGAACTTAGAAAGCATTCAATTCAACACTCTCATTTTAGAGATGAAGAAACAGCCCAGAGAGATTATAACAATATTCACTTCAATAAGCAAGGCACTGTGCTCAACTCTGGACACAAAAAGAAAAAAAAACACTAAATAGATATTATTTTTGAGGTGTTTACATTTTACTAGGAGACAAGAAAATATCAGGTAATTTGTGGCAAATTCTAACAACTGCCCTAACTTAGGCCTTCCTCACTCTCACCAGGATTACTGCAATAGCCACCTCATTGGTCTTTCTTCCACTGCCTCCCCCCTCCAGTCTATTCCTCACACAACTGTCAGATTCCTACTCCTAAAACACAGGGGTGATGATGTCACTCCCCTTAAGAAGCTTCTGGAGCTGCCTGTCGCCTCTGAGCTAAAAAATAAACTCCCCTGTTTGGCCCTTAAAGTCCTCATCCTCTGGCTCCAGCCAATATTTCCAGACTTACTTCAACAACAGCAAACGTCTATTAAGCATTTTCTTGGTGCCAGGCACTGTGCTAAACACCAGTGATACAAAGAAAGGCAAAAAACAGTTCCTGCTCTTAAGGAACACATGCTCCAATGGCAGAGACATATAATCAACCAGGACTAAAGAAGATCATAGCATCTGTGAAGGTGATCTGACAGGAGAAGAAAGGGGCAGCGAGGGAGGCCAGAAAAGTCAGATTTGAGATGAATCCTGAAGAAAGTCAGGAAAACTAAGAAGCAGAGGTAAGGAAAGAACACAGGCATGGGACCAGCTAGTGCAAAGACATAGAAGGGAGGATGAGGATGGAGAGCTAGGGAACAAGCTTTCATCAAACACTCTCTATATGTTAAGCTCTGTGCTAAGTACTTTACAACTACCTCATTTGATCCTCACAACAACCCTGGGAGGTAGGTGCTATTCTTATCCTCATTTTACAGATGAAGAAACTGAGGCAGGTGGAGGTTAAGTGATCTGCCCAAGGTCACACAGCTAGTAAATGTCTGAGGCTGGATTGACTCCCTCGGTGATGCTTCACTCTAGACAAATGGTCTGACTTGCTGTTCTTCACAGATGACAATGTGTCCCACTTCCACATCTTTGCAAAGGTTGATCCCCCAGTCAAGAAAGCCAGTTGCCTCTTGTAATGGCCTCTTAGGAACTGCCTCCTCCTCCAGGAGGACTTTTCTGTCTTAGCAGCCAGTGTTCTCATCTCTCACGTATTTCTCCTATAGAACCTATGTTACTTGACGGTAGGGACAATTTTGTTTTTCCTCTTTCTATATTAAAACACATGATAGGCACTTAACAAGGGGGCAGCTAGATGGTGCAATGGATACGGTACAGATCCTGAAGCAGAGAAGACTCCTCTTTGTGAATTCAAAATTGGCTTCAGATACTTACTAGCTGTGTGACCTTGGGCAAGTCACTTAACCCAGTCTGCCACAGTTTCCTCATCTGTAAAATTAGCTGGAGAAGGAAATGGCAAACCACTCTAGTATCTTT